ATGAGATGACTGTAGTGTCATTGAAGGATATTCAGGTGGAAGCGAGCCTGAGCTACGTTGAGAGGCCGATCGCAATTATGGATCGAAAGATCAAGGTTCTGAGGAACAAGTAGGTGCCCTTGGTTCAGGTCCAGTGGCAACATCAGAGAGGGTCCTAACTGACTTGGGAGCCAGAGTCGGAGATGCAGAAGCAGTATCCGGAGTTGTTTGCAGCATGAGACTTCGAGGGCGAAGTGTAGTTCTAGTGGGGGAGAATTGTAACATCCCGAAATTTAGGTATATCTATTTAACCCTTCTTCTTTTATAGTAGTTAAGATTAGCCCCCCTAAAAGAGAAAGTGTTGCTAGTAAGTACACTGGGCGTACCGATAAGGTACGCTGCGCGTACTCATGGGCTTGTTATGGACGCGGACTCCACTCGGTACGCTGGGCGCACCTTAAGCTACGCTGGGGGTAACGGGCCCAGACTCAAAACCCTAAATGAGACTTGTACACTATATATGGAATGCTATGGCCTTATCCCCAGCCACTATTTTAGAGAGTGAAACCCTAAGTGAGATCTACCATTCATTCTTAACCCTTGTGTGTGCTTTGGAGCTTAAAAGTCCTACGTGTGTTAGTGAAGAAGAAGAGACAACCATTTTGGAAGCTAGTCTTGGAGTGTAAGTTTTGGATCTGAGCTTTGCAAAGGTGGGAGCATCATTTGGAGGTAAAAAGCTTCAAGCTTTCCTTCTTTTTTGTTTGTGTTTTGTATAGGGATGTTTTAGGGTTTTGTATGGAGATGCTTTAGGGTTTTGTGATTTGTAGTGAAGGTGTCAAATTCATTCACCACCAAGGTCAAATGCTTATCCTTCATGTTATCTGATCCTTCGAAAAAGTCTTTGCACAACTTAATGTGATCAAAGAGATAAGGAGGAACGCTAAACACCATTTCAAAGAAGTTGAACTGGTCTGCATAGAGTTTCTCGATGTCATTTGCAGTTAGTGGTGTTGGTTGAGTTTCTTCTTGACCCATGTGAGTGGAGACAACTTCTCTAACCACTTTTCTAACAGGAACATGAGGAACTTCTTTCATTAACCTCCATATTTCTTCACCTTTTTCTGTACCAAGAAAAAATCTCTCCATTCTAACTTTCCAGTGATCATACTTTTCAACAACTAGCAATGGGGCACGCGATGGGCAACCTGTGTTATTTTCTATTTTCATTGATTACGTTTGTTGAGATTGATTAGAAGCAACCATTGAAGTTAAGATATTAGAGTTAAAGTGGTATATAGAAGAACTTTTATCCTGAACATAGAAACGATCGAGATACCAAGGTAATCTTCAATCAACTATAATTTGTTCTTATAGATTCGAAGGAAAACCTCTTTGGCTCTGATATATACCAGTTGTGAATGAAGGAATTTGCAAGGACAAGGTTTCAAAAACTCAAACATTAATTTAACTTAAGATTAATGATTTCTTGAAATTTTATTCTAGTAAAGTCTAGTAAACCAATCTTGTCTCGGATTAGATAAAGTCAACAAAGTGCTCTAAATAAAATAATAATAAGTATGAACAATGTAAATCAATAAGAACAAGAATGTAAGAGAAAATGATTGAATAAATATTTCTTTGATTTAATAGAGTGAAAAAAATTTGCACACTACTTTATCTTGATACAAGGAATACACCTCCTTAAATAGTTAAGGAGTAACTAAAAGACAAATCAAATAAAATATGCATGTGCTAAGAGACAACTAAAGATCAACAGGCTCACACATCCATTGTTGTTGATCTTGTCTCTTGTACTATAATAAACAATAAGATTAATACAAAATAGTACTTGGAGAAGTAAATGCATTACATACGTAGACTAATACAAACAAGGATAGACATCAGACAAGTCATCACTTCGGAATATCATCACTTCATACTCGTTCTTGATCTCGGCTAGTTGCACCTCGGATTACATAAGGATCACTTTTTCATGTTCTAACACTTTCACTCAAGGCTCATATCTGGTCCTAATAGCTTCATAATGGATAACGTTTCCAACTTATCCATTTGGATGGTCCAAACAAACAAGATCTAGTCTTTAAGTCTCAAAGGGGCTCAAAAATGCATCTTTCTTAACCTAATCCATTAATTCCAAGTCTCCATCTCTCAGATCTAAATCAATATTATGTTTAGATTGATAAAGTTTCCAACTTTATCCATAACAAGGTCACAACCTTTCAAGGTCTAAATTTTATGCACTAAAATAAATAAAAATGCAAACACAACTTGAATGGCTTAATGAACAAGCACCAAAGAAAAACTTTCTAAGTCCAGTAAGCCCCAAGAGTCTTCCATATAGCTCAAAAGGTGTCGGAGTTCTTACAACTCCCAAAAAACAAGATTAAAGGACCAAAAAGTTACAAATATAAAAAATAATTAGATCTATGAAACCAATGAGCAAGTTAGAATATTTGTACTCATAATGGTCCAAGAATGAAGTAACCTTGTTGGATCTATGCTTGAACCCTTCTTCTATACACTTTTGTCACCACCTTGCTCTTCAAGATTCAACCTTCCAATAGATAAATAAGATCAAAAAAGATGTCAAGGCTCAAAAAACAAGTAAAAGGAGGCTAGGGTTTCTCAAGGAATGATCTTAGGTGATGGAGGTTGGTCATGATAGGGGTTCCCATAAGTTAGAGCCCTTAAATAGGGTTCAAAACCGAAGAATTAGGGTTTTTTTCAGTCGCAGTTATGCCTCGCATAACCTTCGTTATAGAATACGTAACTCAGTAAAAAAAAATGTGCTCCTCATCCGCAACTACACCTTGTGTACATAGATTACACCGTGTGTAGTGCAAAACCCTCATCATCCAACTTAACTTCAAACAACCATAACTTCTTCATTTCAACTCTATTTTCGGCATTCTTTATATGCACGGAAATGTATCGGCGAGCCCCATAATTCTATCTAGTTACTTTTGGCATAACACATGTCGTACTAAAAAATCCATGAAAGAAGCCTAATGTATAACTTTTCCAGTTGTATCCTTTGGTTCCTGCACACGAATCAAGGACTTAGATCTCATAACCAAATTTATCAAGCCTCAAGAAGGTCCAACCTTTACTTCTTCAAAGCCTAAAGTTTTTACATGATTGATTTATGGTCCACGAGCCCTAAATTAAGGAACGTCCTGAAACAGGGTGTTATAATAGTCTATAGACTAAACATGTTTGATTTTCTCTAAATTAGTCATGTGAAATGACTATTTAACCATTTTGGCCATTTCACCCTTTATTAAGCTTTATGATTTCTCATATTCTTTTCTTTTGTTCTACTTATTTTTCAAACATCAAAAAAATTTGGATGTTATAGTCATAAGCGGAATTCAAGAAAGGATCTTCGGTGTATTTGAATTGTTGGCGTTTTGAATATAAAGTTGAAAAATGTAAAACAAAAGTGCGGGATAGAATTTTTCTCGTGTCACAAAAAGGGAAAGTATAGTTCCAACTATATAAAGAAGAAGGAAACTATAGTGTCGACTAAAAATAAAAGGTGAGGTCATCTAAAGTCAAAGGAGCATTTCAACTCACCATCGAAGAAGCAAAGGAAACACATGATGACGTTTTAGGTACCTTATTTATCAAGTCATTACGCGCACATACACAGGCGAATCTACTATGGTGCCAGTAGTGGCACCAGCAATACCTGGTTTTTCTGGAAGCATTGCAAAAATTTTGATTTTTTTTCTTTTTTCTACTATTATGCCATCGGCAACACCTACTAGAGACCACAATACCTATTAAGAAATCCTACGTCCAACTATGTATACATATATTATTACTCTTTTGTATCACAAGAAGCTAGAAATAATTTGACATGCCTTTATTATCGTTAGATGGTGCCTATACTATACAAATTGCAAATGAAGATTTAATTACGGTACGCCATATTATATATATTTTATAAAGATTGTCTTGAAAATTTACGAAAATACCAATTGAGGGGTTGAGGGCGTCATCTGGTATTTAGTTGAGGGTCCATCTAGCTAGTATTTAAAAACATTGACCTTAGACCATCTGTTATACCCACCACTAATCACTATAGTGATGGATGACACATCATCACCACACTCCCTACCACTAACCATGGGATACATATCACTAAACAGTAAAACACATCACTCCACTTCATTTTTTATTTAAATTTAATTCAAAAATACATTAAAACACAATAAAAAAAATTATTTAAATTTAATTCAAAAACAAAGTAAAATTAGTTTTTTACTCAATGAAACAAAAATCACATTAATTTAAAACACACAACATAAAATAAAAATGATAATAATAAAAAAAACATAAAAATGCAACCACAAACTACTTAAACTAGTTTTTAAACTTTATTTTTAATGACTAAATTTTGGGGTTTCTTTAAATTTTCGCCAAGTTTTGACGTGTTTAAACGGTGTGTGTTTCGTATCTTCATATTGGTGCATGGTCACAGCATACGGGTCACCTTCGTCTACGTTATTTATAATAAATTTATAAATCTCATTGAATTCAATGCATTTAACCTTCATATCGCGAAACTTCGAGCATATTTCAGCAAGACTACGACTTTGGAAACCCATTAAATCATGGAAAACGTTTGTAACTTTTACCCAAAAGTTAGAGGACATTTCTAGGTCTTCTGAAACAATTACCCATGCTAATGTTAAGTTCTCTTTTTCATTTTCTGACAAATTCATCTTTTTAGTTGTCATTGGTTTTTGAATTTATCAAGCAAAAAAAGTGTGTGAGTGTGAGAAGAAAAAAAAGAATTGTACCAGTAAAATAAGTGAATAAGTGTGATATTTATAGAAGATGTATAATGTTGTTTGAAAGGTAAAATTAAAATAAATAAATAAATAAAAAGATTTTAAACCCTAAAATATGGCTGTTACTCAACAGCCAATCAAGTTAGTCGTTTCCATTCATTGTCTAGAGCATGAATGCCCACGACCACGAACCACCACGAGCTACCGGGATGATGTGTACGGTCGTTGTTCGTGGCCACCTAGACCATGAACTCGTCCGTTGCAACCATATTGGACGACCTTAGCATATATACATAACGCATACACAAGAATCAACAAAGCAAATACCAGATGAACGTTAATATGACACAAGATATCACGCAAGACGCATATACATTTTTCCTCATACCCGCACCCGGTCCAAACAAGTTTTTCCAACAATTTGGTTGCCTTGTTGCATTTCTAGATACTCTCTATATTTCATTGGAACAAACGATGCGGGACACCTTTCTTCATCTACCAACTCATAAGCCGGCCTCACCACCGTATCCAACGACGGCCCATTCGCTACAACTACCGATATCCTCGTCGCCACATTATTTACGATTGCACGATGCTCCACACTCTTGTACTTCCCATTACTAAAAATCTGCAAGCAAAAAACACACATAACAGACATGACATGACATGATAGGCTTTGCTGCATGTGGCATGCATTGGATCGACATCAATACCGATTTTAATTGGAATTTTTAGTCCCACCCAATAAGGTAGGACATATACTATCTCTCAATCTCTTGGTTGCACAAAAGATATGAATCTCTTATCATCGCAAATAACCCTAGAAAGTTTGCTTAGTTGAGTGTACCAAACACAATGTTATGTACCTCAAGGTGGTCCGCAGTATTGACGAGAAACGAGCCAGGAAAGGTATCATTCACATTGACCCATTTGCCATTGTGTTTGATCTGAAGTCCGCCTACACCATTGTTGATGAGGAGCGTCAAGAGGCCATGATCCGAATGAGGGGGGCAACCCTATTGCAAGTTCAGGCTGTGGGCAAGGGGGGTAGAGATTTACAACAAATATTTGTAAACCGGATTCCAATTTCAAAGTATTTTCTATGCAACATTGGTCGAGTCCTAAGCTCATTGATATCCCGTTAAGTAACCCTCTTACTACTTCTCTGGTTCTTTTGGAGTACTCCAACATAATCTCACTGCAACACATATTGACGCCTTTGATTTTCAGTTTCAAACTTATAAACTCCGAAATTCAAACTTGATATGGAATTTGTTAAAAATCCAGAACTAACAACTTTTTTTATGTTGATATTTCATGATTAAATCCAGCGCATATGTCAATTACTTCTAGCAAACCTCAAGAATTCATATCATATTTAATATACCTGACCTCAAAAAGTAGGTGATGTTTCTTTTAAACTTTAAGTTATATAATAATGTTTCCAATTTTACTTAATGAAAAGTCAGGGAAACGAGTCCCCACTAAATGCTACCCTCATTTATTTTTTTTCTTTGAAAAAAGTGTCCATTTATATTTCTAAATATGTTATCTTTTAAAACAATTTTAAACATCTCTTAAAAGAAAAGAAAAACAAAATCTCAAAGCCTCTTTTTTTTTCTTGAAGAATATAATTACAAAGAAATAGGTATGAACCTTTACACTCCAACCCACAACCATTTGGTTAAAAAATACTCGACATGTATCAATTGGTAGGGTCCCCCTTTTAGATTTTTGCAATTATATCATAGAACTTTTACCCTAAAAAAAATGGTAATCAAATCGTATATTTTGTCCTCTTTACAAATTTCTTGGCTCCACTATTACCCAAAGTCAATTGGTTTCTAAAGCAGCCTAATACAAATCGCTTAAGTGTAGTTTGTTGACCAAAAATAGATAACCAAACACACATAATCTTGATAAGAATTGGTTGGCAATGAAAGCAACCCTTTTGTTTTTATTTGCCATTAAAAGGACCCTGTTTTACTCCAAGAGGTTGTTCAATAAAAGCTTTTGACCTTATGTCAATTGTCCAAAATACCCTTTTTGACCTTATGTCAATTGTCCAAAATACCCTTTCAATAACCTTTGTACAAGAATATGAACACTGAAACTTACCTGAAACCTACAGGTTTGTTGGGAGAGTGAAATTCCGGGTGTACAATAACTTTCAGAAAATCCCTCCAGCAAAAAACCTTATCTTTCTTAGAATTAAAGCTTGTTCCATATCTAATTGGATCAAGAACATCCTTTTCTTCAAAATCTTTCTTCTCGTCATCTGTCAAATTGAAAAATTCATTCGATTTTTCAACAACCATGTTCATCAAATCTTCGGGAACCCCATGATTAATCACCTGAACAATTCAAAATCATTAAAAACTGATTAAAATTACTCTGCATGCAGCCATAGTTGAAGTGACCAAATTCACGATTCATAAAAACTTAACACGTACCTGAAAAAAGCCCCAATCTTTGCATGCGTCACCTAGCTCCTGGATAACTTGCAAACGTAAGGAAGGATCAGGGGATGTGAGTAGGGAAAAATCAATGGTGGGGATTGAATCTTGAGAGTTTGAAACAGGGGATTCATTAGGGTTCGTGGAGTAGGTGTAGATTGATGGGATGGAGTTGAGGTCAGGTGATTCTGATAATCTTTTAACGAAGTTCATCTTGAAATGAACAGCACAAGTTATATAAACATAAAGTAGCATATTTATACACGCATAAAGGCCATACATACGAAAGTATAACAACAAAGGGTTGCCACATGTGATGATTATCTTCACATAAACCATATGTCATGTCTTTAGAAAGCAACAAGCTTTTATCTTGTCATCATCAGAGAGAAAAGCCAAAATTGAATCGAGAAACTGATAATTGTCAAATAAGAAAGCAAGTAGAATCCAATAATTACTTGATAACAGCAAAACTGTGCATTTATGATTTTGTGTTTCTCGTTTCTTGAAAGAAATCAAGATTATACAACCATCCTTTTTGTAGGATTTTAAATGAAAGAAAAAGTAAAAGAAAAGCGTCCATGAAGACTCTCATCCAGAAATCGATATCAGAAACTTAAAGAAATTAGGGTTCTTTGTCTTGCTGGTATGAGTTGAGGAATCATGAAATCAGGGCTTGATTTGAAGATCATTTGATCTTTCGTTTGAAGAACTACCCTCTAATTTTCTTCCGTGGAGCGATTGTTTGCTGTTTGTTCGACTTTAATCAACTCGAATCCCAAATCACCATTGACGGATTGAATTTGAACTTCATGGCGATCGGAGTAATAATTATTACGTACATCAGATCTAATCCTACAGGCTGCATAATCATCCAAAGAAACTGACCTTCTCATGATCAAGAAATCACTAGTTCCACTTCCACCGATCATTTCTCCCTTTTCTTCTTCATCTACAACACCGGTTCTCAATTCAATACTCTCACGATCTACTTCACTTTGTCTTTCTTCTCCATTAACTTCTTCTGGGATCGAAATCGCCAATTGGGTTTCTTCGGTGCGACCCGAATCATCCAAGTTTTGGTCCGAAGAAGAATTTGGAGTGTTCTTCACAATTCCGGCTCGACACAAAGGGCAATTTGTGTGTGATCTGAGCCATGTATCAATACAAGATATGTGGAAAGCATGATTACATTTGGGTAATAATCTAAGCGTCTCATCTTCTTGAAATTCGCTCAAACAAACAGAGCAATTCGTATCTTCGATGAGGCCGTCGGTTTTACTGTATTTCACGACAGTAATAGCACTGATCACGGATGGTTGAAGACCAACAGTTCTGATGTACCATATGGGGTGATCAAGTACATCGTGATCAAGAAATTCATCACGGGTTTCTTGATTCTCCGGTGATGGCGGCGGCGAGCGGCGGCGTCTTGACCGGTACCAGACGGTGTAGAATTTGTAGAGGGTGTAAAGAAGGAACAAAGAGAAGGTGACAACAAGGATTACAAGGGAGATCTTGAGGGGGAGACTAAGTGGTGAGTGGTGGTGTTTTGGGGTTGGTGTACTGAGGATAAAACCGCCGGTGGGCAACGGCGGTGGAGATTGTGGTGGCGGAGATGAGTCACTGATGTTACACAAGTACGGACAGATGGAAGCGCATTTGGCTACGCAACCGCCGGTGGGGTTTTGTAGTGAAACACAGTTGATTGAGCAGAATTCCGCTTCGGTGGCGTTGGCTGTTTCTTCCAGTGTTTCCCGGTGGAAATTGTAAGCCGCCATGGGAGAAAGATCAAAATCGTGGTGGCGTTGCAGAATGAAGATGGGGAGAAGATGCTCATTCGGTTCGATGAATTTGCATGAGAAAATTGGTTGTGATTCTTCAGACTTTCAGGGATTGGATTTGATCCAAAATCATTCTTTTAAACAATTTACGTGTAATATAGATTTGCCGATGGTTTCAAGATAAATTATTTGAAAGTCAACATTCAAAAACCTCATACATTTATGTTTGAATTAAAATAGATTTTGTAATAGCCAATATATTAATAATTAACAAATCCTACACCATTAATAAATATAAAATTTAATTCACAATAACTTATTCTCATTCCTTGGAAAAAATATTATATTAGTTTTCTGAATAGTTTTACATCATATTCATATTTTTTTATGTATAATAAAAAATAATATTTTTTTCAAGATTAATTAAAATATATAATTAAAGGGTAGGTACTTGATTAAAAATGGAAAACACCTATGAAGTTAGTTGAACAAGATCCTCTTGACTTTTTCCTTTTAATAAAGTATTAAAAGCATATGATAAGGGATTGACTACAACAACGTAATGATACTTAAAATCGTTATATTATAAAAATTATATTGAAACTGAAATGGTTTTTGGACTTCTTTTATACAATAGTCTAACAAAAGGAAACATCGCAAAAATTCATTAAAGTAACATTCACAATCATCATAACATGTATAATTACAACTCAAAAGCAACAAGATTAAAAATATATATATAACATGTATTACTACCATAAGTATTTGAAGTCTAGCATTAACATTGTATTCACTATACGAGTTCATGCTTGCAACTCATATTCCTATAATCCTATATGTTTTGCATGAGTGATTTTAATGTTGTGGACTCATTTTAAGTAATTAAAATTATATAAAGACAAAATTTTACAAATGATTCTAATTTCTTTTTTTTTTTTTTTTACTAATATAGTCTATAAATTTTTTTTTATTTGTTTTATTTATTTATTTTTGCATGGATGGTCTTTTTGGATCAAACTTTGCAGACTGGTGGCCCCCTTCAACCAAACGTAGTACACTAATGGCCCCTTTCAACAAAACGTCGTACACTAATGGTCTCTATGTTGGATGTCCATTTGATTTTTTTAAAAAGTAAGGGTTAGCTCAATTTAAAGTTACAAATATATCCTTAATGAATTGTTTATAAAGATATTCATATATGATTAAAAAAAGATAATTAGGGTTTCATGTCTGATTAGCTTGGAGATCAATATCATCACCATCGATAACATCACCACCAAATGTCGATTATTGTGAAGATATGATAAGTTAAATCAACTACTCGACCACAAAGGAACTCTACGCGGCAACAAAAATCTAGAGCTTCTACAGTTGTTAAGAGGGTGTGAAGTGAAGGATAATTAAGGTTTAATGGTGATTTAGGGGAAATGCGGTGGACGAACCACTATGAAAGCGGTGGGGGAGAATTGGGGATCGATGGTGATTAAGATATGGATTCAATAGATGCATATGCAACATACCACCGAGGATCCTAATTTAGATAAAGGAAAACTTGCATCCATTGTTCTTCCATTAAATGGGAAATGGACACAAAGAGGAAGAAAGGGGTTGTAAATTGAACATTAGCCATTGGAAAAATTACAAAATGATGAATATGTTTGAGCTCATGTGACAGAGGAGAAAGGAGCTCAAAGTCATGAAATCGGTTTTTCCGGTGACCTCCCTTATCTCATTTTCTAAATTTGCAAATTGATTTTTACTAGATTTTATTTCATTTTAGTTTTAGTGAGTTTTATGGATTTTGAGGCACTTCAATGCAAATATCGTCTTTTATTATCCCTTTATTTGAAGTACACATCGTTAGGTGGAAGTGTAACTGGATTGACATTAAAGATTTGTTCATCGAAGGTTTCTTCGTTGGAATAGGTTAAGTCCATGTCATCAGAAGAAGATCTAACACCCGCATCATCATGTTCATGTTCCTCATCATCATCACAATAATTATCATCATCTTCTTCTTTATAATCGTTGGTTTCAAAAAGAGGAGATCTAACTATGCGAGAATGGAATTTAAGGGTAGGGAGTAGATTGTAGGATTTATAAGTTGACGAATTAAACGAAAGTGGGGATTTAGGAATAATTGGGTATCCGTGATCTATTGTAGTATCTCTTAAAGGTGAATGTGTATTTTGCTCTTTTGTGTAACCTATGTTTGTTGTAACATCCCAAAAATAAGATCATAAAATTTCATTTTTAATCATATAAAAACATTGCTCCAAACATTATTCATACAAGTTTACACAAAGTAAGTGTATGAGTACTGTTTCAAATCAGAGTAAATTGTAAAATGAAGAAACATGTGGTGCGTGCCCTGCAATCATTCGGAGCTCCCTTGTTTTAAAACCGTAGTACCTGAAACACAAATTGAAAACTGTAAGCATAAAGCAATGTGAGTTCCCCAACATACCACATATAACACAAACATACTGTCAGGCATATCTAGGTGCCCGACCTACCTGCTGAGCATATATGGGTGCTTGACCTACCATGTCAGGCATATCTGGGTACCCGACCAAGCATATTTGGGTGACTGACCTACCTTCCAGTCTATTTCAATCAGCTATAGGGTTTATTTCACCCCTACCACTACCAAATAATACCGACACAAACATAGTGTCAAACATATTTGGGTGCCCGACCTACCCTCTGGTCTATTCAACCAGTTACGGGGTATATTTCACCCTTACCACTACCACATAATAACATACATAAATCACATGATCATCAAGCAATGCTTGAACGATGATAATTATCATACATACAACCATCATACTATGCAAGAAATAAAGGGCCAAAGTTGGTGCCTTCGACCCACTAAACATAGTGATGAGACCTACCTCGCACTGCTGAAGTCCCGCGGATAAATCTTTGGATGTTGGATGATAGTCCCCCGAACATCACAAAACACCTAATTAACAATTGGGTTCCAATGCATAGCCACAAATCCATACTTGTGGTAAAAATAGCATTTTACCCCATAACCTAGCTTAATCCAAGACCAAGCCCCAAACTCACACTCTGAAGGCCCAAAAGCTAAATAATCAACCAAGGCCTAATTATGGCCCAATTTTCCAAGTTGGGCCCAAACCTCATACATGGGCCTTACCTTAAGGCCCATCTAAATATCCTAGTCCATATACTAGCTCTCAGTTTGCCTAACAATAACCCAAACACCTAAGCCCAAAAGAAAAGCCCAACTTGAAGCCCAAACACAATTAGGGTTTTCGTATAAAATGACGATTAAGGTTAAGTAAGAACACTTAACCCATAAAGGACTTAATCCATCAAGTCTATCACTCTATTTGGTCAATCATACAATGTGGTCAGGCATAATTCATAACTCCAATTAAATGGTCCAAACGCAGATCCCGACAAGTCTCAACAAAACTCTCCAAGATTAGGATTTTCTAAACCATAATTAGGGTTTCTAACCTAAACACATTTTAATTAGGTCCAAGCTTAAGTTTTGGTTAATTAAAAATTTGCTAGATCGGGCACCACCCACAACCACCTTGGGTGGTAGTGGCCGACGGTTGTCTAAGGATGTAGCTACCCACACACAGTGGCGGTTCGAGTAAAAATTCCAACAACCAAACACACATACAAGATTTACATAATTCACACACACTACACTACACGCACACAACCACCGTACACGGTGGCTGGTGGTGGCAGGAAAGGGTAGCCAAGGCGGTAGCCACCATGGTTGGCTGTGATGGTGGTCCTCATGCTTCAACCGGCCAACAAACACCCGTCTCTCCGACATGTCATGGCAGAAAACATGCGTACACAGTCTAAACACGAGATTAGACACCAAAAAGTACACATCAACTCAGCCACCTCGTGGCAGCATAAGGCGGTCGGAGAAGAGACATCTACCGCGACAGTTTCTCAGAATGGTGACAACGGTGACAAAGCAACAACAGAAAAGGTGGAGGAGGGAGAAGATTAGCAACCCATCTTGCAAACAGCGGAAACAACACCCATAAACCTCGCTCACCCGATCTTCCCCGACTAACACAATGTCGGGTTCGAGGTTTTTCGTCTTTGTCGACAGCGAAGGCAACAATGACACGGTGCAGTGTAGTCGACGGCATCGGCTGGGAAATGAGAGGTGATAAGGTGGCGGCTGGGGAAATATGGTGTAGGGTTAGGGTTTATATCAACAAAATCGGAGGAAAGAACGTCGGGTTAATCCTGTGCGTTCTTCAAACTTGATCCGTTTTTTTCCAAGTTTGGTCCCTCCCCACAAGATCTTTTTCAGATTAACTCCAAACTTTACCAAACACCCCCGCCTTCTGAAATATTTACCAAACCACTCCAAAAATTACACTTAACCCCCAAATATTCAAAAGTTATGACATTTAACTCCCGAAACCAACACTCTGCTAAATTATTAAGGATTTAGGGCTACAATAACACACACACAAACATATATATATATATATATATATATATATATATATATAATTTACATCTCGGGGTTTAGAGTTTATTATTTGCTTACTTAGTTTATTTACTTTCCTACGGAATGTTACATTTGTACCATATGATTTTTTACGAATACAATTCATGTTTTTTTATTTAACTGAAGAGGAATTACAAAGAAAAATGAACGGAAACGATTATAATCCAACGCAAACTTGATGGAAATTTTTTTGTGATTCATAATTGAGACTTGAAGTGATTACATATCTAACCCAATTCAATGTCCTTTCATCTAGGGATAACAACGAGACCAAAAAGGAGCGTAAATAGCTGTCTCTGTCCCTGCCTCCGAAATTAGTTACTGCCCCCACCCCTTCCCCCAAATCGCTCGTTTACATAGTCCCCGATCCCGTCCCTGGATACCTTCATCACCCTCGATCCCACCACATTCTCCCGTTTTATAGGCTTAAAATTGTTCTTTTTTTGCTAAAAAAATTGTTATATTTTGA